TCTGAATAAAATAACAGGTTATTTCTGCAAGTTTAATCCCACAGAACTTTCATTGACAGCAGCAGATATTTTTGCAGAAGTAACATTTAGCTTTTTACCTATTTGTTCATACATTTTAGAACCATTTTTTCTGTGTTTTGTGCTTATATTTACTAATGTTAAAATGTTTTATTTTAATCTGCATTTAATATTCACCCTTTTAAACTTGAAGTAGCGTGTTTCTCTTATGAGAAGTACTTGCCCCTGGTTCGTTCTTCTTTGCCAGTAGTTTCTACATCTCTGGTTTATTTTTTTCAAGGTTATTGTTTCTTCAAGTTGTTTTTTTCTCTGTGCAAAACCAATCTCGTCACTTCATACGATGTAGAATGTTCCCACCTGGTCTGCTGTGTTTCTTTTTCACTGCAAATGTGGAAATTTAACATGCTCTTCGAAATGAAGATATAATTGTTGTAGAGCCTGCTATTATGGCACACCTTTGGGATAGATATGGTGTCCGTATAGAGTGTTCAAACTCTAGAATTTAATCTTTCAGGTTTTAGAGCTTTCTGGTTTGTTTGAAAATTTTCCTTTCTAACCCACATGACTGAAATTAACTTCCTAAACATGAAGTGGGTGTAAACTCAGTTTAAAGTCAGCATGTATTTGTGTCTGTGGCCCTTCTTTGCATACAGACATCTCAAGTTTCTAGTAGAAGTTAATCATGGCACTTGAAAGGGTGTTCCTGATATTCTGGTAGTATAATGAACAAAGGGCTGAGAGGAAGGTCTCTGGAAAAGGACACAAAACAGAGGAAAGGAGAGGAAAGGAGATTAAAAGGGGGAAAGCAAAAATAAGAGGAAAAGAGAAAAGTGAAGGAAAAGAGAGAATTGAAGTAGTCCTTCGATAAGAGTATGTTTTCCACTTGCAGATGTTGAATCTGACTATATGTTACCAAACAATTAATTAACATAATTAAAAGAGTTAAGAACCAGTCCTTTTATTTACAGTACATGGATGGATGTTTGTACCTGTCCAGTGAAATACAGGAACAGAAATCCCTCCGGTGATTATAAGCTTCAGGAACAAGGCTTTGATTATTCACAGAATAAAAGAGTAGCTTAGGTTTGACAGGACCTCTGGCAGTCATCTAGTTCAACTCTGGGTTCAAAGCATGTCCAACAAGAACAGGTTACTTAGGATTGTGTGTCCAGGCTGTATCTCTGAGGATGTAGATTCTGGCTCCGGGCAACCTGGTACAGTACTGGACCATCATTACCCCCAGCTGGACTTGCTCCAGTATATCAGTGCCTTTCTTGAAGCGTGGAGCCCAAAAGGGGACACAGTGATTGGGGTTCAGGCTCAGAAGTGCTGAACCATCTCTTCTCTTGGCCTGGTGACTCCACTCTTGATAATGCAGCCCTGTATGCAATTGGCCTTTCCTGCAAGGGCGAACTGCTGATTAACATTCAAAGGATTCTTCAGCTCCTTGTTTGCAAATCTGTTTTCTAGCCAGTCTATACCATTGCACAAGGTTATTCCAGCCCAGGTGGAAGCCTCCGCGGTTGCTTTTGTTGAACTCCGTAAGGTTCCTGTCAGCCCATTTTTCCAGCCCGTCAAGGAGTATCTGAATGCGGTCCTGCCCTCCAAAGTATTGACTGCTCACTCCTGTCTGATGTCATGCACCAACTGGCTGAGAGTGCGCTCTGTCCCATCATCCAGGTCGTTAATAAAGGCAATGAATAGCGCTGGCCCCAGTACTGGTCCCTGAGGGAAGCTACCAGTAACTGGCTGCTCTTTGGACTTTGTACTCCTGGTCAGAACCCTTTGAGTCCAGCAGTGCAGACCGTTTCCCTCAAGGCTGCTTATCCAGTCCACATCTCCCCAGGTTTTCTTCAAGGACACAAGAGGAGACTGAGTCAAAGGCCATCCTGGAGTCAGAGCATACAACATTCGCTGCCTTCCCCTTTCTTGTCCACAGTGCCAGAGTGACCCTTGGTAAATCCACTGGGGCTATTGGCGATCACCTTGTCTGTCACGTGGCTGGAAATGGCTTCTAGGAGATTTGCTCTATAACTTTCCCAGGGACAGAGGTGAGGCTTGTAGCTGCCTGAATCTTCTTCTTGCCCTCCTTGAAGATGGGTGTGACATTTGCATTTTTCTGGTCATCAGGAACCTGCCCTGATCACCACAGTGTTTCAGTGGTAGTAACATCAGCCATCTCCCTCAGCACCCTGAGGCACATCCCATCTGATCCTCTTGACTCCTGTATGGCCTGGTGGGTTCAAGAGCTTCCTAAGCATCTCCCTTTACAGCAGGTGTTGCTCCAGCCCTGCAGGAGGCTCAGGGACCTGGGAGGCCTGAGGACAAAACTAAGCAGAGAACTGAGGCAGAAAAGGCATCGAGTACCTTGGCTTTTTTCATGTCCTTTGTCACTAGGTCCCTTTTTCCACCAGGCAGTTGGTCCCCACTTTCCTTAGCCATCCTTTTGTTGTCCCTTACTATGTCAGTCATATTCTAGTACTGTTACGTAGATAACTTCTCTGGCAGACCCACTGTAGATAAGCAGCATCTCCATATAGATATTCCTAAACAAGGCATGAATAATGTATAGAAAATTCTGAAGGCAATGGAGAAGATTAATTGAAATTTTCAAAGTAACAGTACAGAATTATATCATGAAAGTTGAGGGTGAAAGTTTAAAATTAATCAGAATAAATTTTCACACAGTGGAGTCACCTGTACAAATGAGTTTCACAAAATATTTGGAAAGGCACTAGTTTTGACATTTTTGAAAAAGATACCTGAGTGGATATTTGTGTAATACCTATTTACACTAGATGTGAACTCTGTCTAAAAAAACAAAAACTGATGCCTACAAGCTTACTGTTTTAGGAGAAAAGGTCCATCACTAGGTTTCCTCTAGCTCCTCGAGACTGTCAGGTACTGAGCAGTGTCAGGCACTGGACTTTGAATTACACGGGTCACTACCCTGGACTGGGGTGGTGCTTTCTATGGTATCTGTTGACATTAATGATGAATATTAACATTTAAGGAACCTTTCAACATTCTCTAATCTCTTCTTAAAACACACTTGCAGTCACGGGAAATTCCTTTTTGTACTTTCCCATCTTATGATTGAGTGCACTCTTGCATGTGAAATCTCTGTGTCTGAGTCACTGTTTATCACAGGAGGAATAAAACCTGAAAAGCATGCCACAGTTTTGGTACTCCCTCAGGTCATTTGGTAGGAGTAGAAAGAAATAATTTAAAATTACTTTTCTAAGAAGGAAAATATCTTTTTTCTTTCTTTTTCTTCTCTCTTCACTTATAAAATCTGATTTACTTCAGTGAGTATAGTCTACAATGGAAGAATGTCTGATGAAGAATTATTTTTGTATGTGGCACTCTTATAGCTGTGCCTATCAACTCCTACAACTTCAATAATTTTAATTTATTTTAAGAATGTGTTGTGTGTGTTTATACAGGTGTTTTTTGTTTATGTAAGAAGGGTTATATGCAAAATTGAACATTTTTCAGTAGTTCCTGAGTTAGCATTCAAGTGCATCTGACTGTGTGTTAAACGGATGGTACTAAAAATGTTTCTATAACTAAACTGTATTTAAGTCCTCAGAGGGGAAGCTTTTGAACAAGCTGAACTTCAAATATAACAAACAGAATGATAACGAAATGCTCTTAAGCCACAGCCCGTTAAATGAGTAAAAATAATATTTGAAGGGTGTTTTTTCATAGCTGTGGGTGTTGCATTTGGCAGTTATTCAGGAAATGTAAGTTTTAATATTCAGACCACCATTTCACATAGTGTTACTCCTATCAGTAGTTCCTCCAGAAGAGAAATGTATTTTTGAGTGAAAACTTCAAGTTATTTAGGTCCTGGTTTGTGCTGTTTGCAGAATTCCCGCTGGGTATAATAAGATCCCTTTCATGTAAAGGCCTGTGGAAACTGCAACTCTTGAAAGTTTTGATAAGCTGGTGAGCAGTGAAAAATTACCCCGTGCAGCATCCCGCGCCTGTCGGACCCAAGACAGCACAGAACCACGGGCGAGGATTCGGCTGGGGGAGATGCGCATTTTGCTGATGGCTGCAGCTTGCCGCCTGGAGGCCACTGCAGCTCTGCCGGTGGAGCAGGTCATGTCTACCTGAAGTGACCTTCTTTTCTTCCCCTTCTCCATCCTAAGCAGTATTTTTCTTCTAGAATCTCCCATGTCCATGCCTTTGGCATTGGTTCTGCTGTGGCCTCTCTTGTTGTCTTTAATATGTGGTTTAGTTTTCTGGGTGTTTTATCACGAGGAACACAGGCTTTGTATCTGGGTATATGGATGATATGCACTGGTTTATGTTCACAAGTTCAATCTAGGTATCTGGTCCTTGTAAAAGGTGCTTGAAACTGGTTCCAGTGAGGGTTTAGAAACTTAATAAACATCTTGTGCTGTGATTAAGGTGAGGACCCTAAAGAAAGTTAGTTGCTTGTAGGGCCATGGAAGTCACTGGCAAAGGGAAGTTAAATCGAACTGTCAGTATTCCCACCTTAGATACTGCAGTCTATGGGTAATCCTCCAACACCCTAAGCCTGGGTAAATAATAGGAGCATAACTTCATAAGTGGTTTCCATGACCTTTTGGGAAAGGTATAATCCTTACCATTTGTCCATTTGAATCAAAGATGTTTTGTTCTGATGCAGAAGATCACTGCTGTTCTTCTTGTGTGCTGTACTTTATAGAAACAGTCTGCTATTACACTGAACATGTTGCCTTCTCTGCTGCCTCCAGTCCTAAACCTTTGGAAATCAGATACTTTTTGCCACCTGTTCTTCTTATTTGCTAATGAATCTATTATTCTGAATGCCACAAGTTATCTAATCATTGGTTCCCAAGGAAGACCTTTGTTTGCAAGGTGGTATTATATTTTGATTGTTATGTACTTAGCATTAATTACTTTTGATTGTTTTACACTACTGTTGCTAGTATAATTCTTATTAACCATCTGTATCTTTCCTTTTGCAGCTTGGGTCCTGTGTTTGCGCTGTTTGTACCATTTTATTGTTCCATTCCAAGAGTGCAGGTGACACAAGTATTAGGCCACTTTTCTATCACAAACAAGACACTGGTCTACATACTGGGTTTACAGGTATGGTATGTACTTGCTTGTTCATCTTTTAATGAATTACTAATGTAGTAGTTAGTATTTCTGTATGTTTGTCTATGAATTTTGATGCTTCCACACGTATGATTCCGTACGTTTAGCTAGTGACTGTCCCATCAACTAAAATATTGAAAAACATGTGTTGCTAGTATGCATTGCTACATGCTGAAGTGGTGGGCAAGTGATCTGTTCTTCCATTGTCTTCTGGCTTGATTGTCTATTTCTATTTTCTATATTGAAAATATAATAGACAAGTCTACAATTCTTGGTTTTTTTGGTCAACAAAATGACCTAGATGAAAAGAGATGAAAACAGAACCTGATGCTAAGGCGTATGTATCTTTCACCTTTCTAATTTGCTTATATTCTTGATTTTGTTTATTTTCCCCTTGTCTGTTAGAGCTCAAACAAAGCTATAGAATACAGTATTTTTCTAGGGTAAGAGTGTCGGTAAATAATCAAGATTTTGGCTGAATTCCACTTTTAATATTATTTGTATATCAAGCATTACCATGTGACAGGTAATTTAAAATAGTGTAACGTAAAGCACAGCAATATCATGTAGTATTATGTTAAATATGAGTGGGAAAATATAGGTACTTGGTACAAAAAGGCAGTAGTTGTTCAAAAAAACAATGAAACCCCAGCAGCCTAGAAATGAATGGACACTCATATCACAATCTGAATTATGAAACAGGAGACGTGCAAATTTATGAGAAATTATACTCATTTTTCTATATTCCAGGGCCTCAAAAATAGCTCTAGCACTAGCAATGGAAAGCACCATAGTTTTATGAAGTGTGGTAGAGAGTATTTTAGAATGAATGGTCAGTTTCAGAATATTGACTCATGCTCCACATGAACATTTCATTCATCCCTTTTGCTGTTCAGCCTTTGCATTCCTTCAATTTCTGCTCCAGCACCTTATTTTCTTGATCTTTCAGAAATCTTGTTTCCTCTCTTCCAAGCCCATCAATACCACTATTTATCTGGTCTTTGGGAAAGCCATGATATTGTCTGAGCACTTTTCCATTGTGTCCTTTGCCTTTCACTTTCATACGCACACCACCTCCAATACAGATCACTGCTGTTACTAATCACTGTATCTTCGCTGGATCTTTCCCTGCTGCGTACAGAAAGGTTGCTGCCGTCACACAGAGGCTGAGGGAAAAATCATTTGCCTTCTTCTCATTTGTAAACTCTGCCCTTATCTCAAGTCACTCTTTTCGTAGTCAGAAGACTAGAGGGAAGGTGTTCTCATGATTCAGTTGGCATCATGCAGAACTATTTTAGTAACCAGTATCAGTCTAATTTTCAGCCAGTTTTTCCAGTTGGTAATAACCTTCTCCAGGCGATTAATCACATACTTTTACTGGAAATTATGAGCTGCCCTGTTGGCTTATCAGGATTTTTTTAAAAAATTCACTCCAACCTATTTCTGTGATTTTATGTCGACAAATATGCCACTGGGTGAGAACTTTATTTCTTTAATTTTGATGCTCATGCTTAGTCTCTCTGTGACTACATGTCTGAGAGCTTCACTTGCGCTGCCTGCCCCGCTGGGAACTCTTCTCCTGATGCTGCTGAGTCATTTCCTTTGCTTCAGTCTATCTTTCAGACTTGTTTTTCTGTGCAGCCTATAACTGACATCCTGTTATACTTAGTATGCTATATGAAAATAAAACGTATTGTTCTGTAGAAGGAGAACAATTGTTGGATCCTTGTGTTTTTTCCACTTCTGCTACTTCTGGAATACATCTTTTTTAATGTTAAACTGAATTTTCACACAGATAAATGTCTGACTTCTCCCATTGTCATAAGTACATAGCCTATATAATATTGCAACATAGTAGTTCAGACAACAACGGCTTTGTAAAATTAAAATTTTAAATCACTGCTCTTGTCTTCTAGCTCTTAACCTCTGGTTCCTATATCTGGATTTTAGCCTTAAGTGGACTGGTAAGTCTTACTGTTTTAAAAATCACGTGTTGCTTAAAACACTCTGTTACATATACAATCAGTGCAGTATATTTGGACTCCAAAAGAACAGAAATTACTGAGTAATGTTTTTAGTTGTGATGGTAAGTAGAAAGTTTTTGTCTTTAACTTCCAAAGCTGTAAAGCACTGGCTGGCTGGTGATAAACTGACAGACAACAAAAGAGATGGTTAATATTTGCAGGGTGCCGATTCTCTCTGACCCCCTAAAATTAATTTTACTGCCATGGGTATAGCTTTAGACCCACAATTGTAAATGAGACTATTAGGAAATGGTAGAAATGTTTACCCTATTGGGTTTTTTTTCCAGTTTTCAGCAAGCCTTAAGCTTTTATTTCAAAAAGCAGCTTTTAACAACTTTGCTATGAGGATTATTCATGTTTTGCTGTTCTCCTAGGACATCTGTAGTATAGCCATTTCTCACTCTGAAAACGCCAGTAAGGGTGCAAAATCATTTTCCTTACACCAGTCAGATAAAATTGGTGTGGTCTGTCTTTTTCCTTTCCGACTCTGTTCTTAGTACTAAGGCACTTATTGCTAAAACAGATTGTACTAAGTCTTTCAGATTGTTAGATACTGATAAGCTTCTTTTAAAATTTTACAAACTTAGTAATTAGGAGCTCAGACTCTGATTTCTAGGCCCAAAATACCGTCTGCTTTTCAAACAGTGAAAGTGCCACCTCTTCCAAAGAAGCTCATTATTAAGTTGATGCAATCTTAAGAAGACCTTAAATTGTGCCCTTGCTATTTAGAAGCTACTAATTTGAATTTGCAGTGAGCTCAGAGTGAAATGCCCGTGGACACTTCACATATCGCTGCTATAACTCAGTAGTTTGGTCTCTTACCATTTGCATTGACTGTTCCGAAATATTCTGTGAGCTCACAGGATAACTAACAGGAGTGACGGAGCAGTAAATAGTTAAGTCTGCTCAGCAATTTGGTCTGACCATAAATATTGATGAAAACAGTGCAACTAACAAACCAGGATTTCTCTGTCCTGGAGGTCAGCCCACACGTCTGTGCCTGCCTAAGGATCTGTGACTTCCTCCAAACGCACTACCCTTCCTGTTACTCTTCTGGCTCTTTTAATAGCCCTTCCTTTTCAACAGGTGTTCATTAGAGAGGAAAGGAAAGAAAAGGAAAGGCATTTTAACTCCCTCTTTCCTGGTGGCAGGAACTGTATGTATACTTGGTCATACAGACTTATAAAGACCGGCTTGAATATTTTTTTTTCATAATATATTATGCAGTTCTTATGCAGTTTAATTCCCCTTTAATGTACAGTTTTATTCAGCTGTATAATGCAACTTTCTTAAGATTCTTTTTCATAAATGACCTTTTTTTCAATTGCAGGTTGACAGTATGTTTTACATAGGTATAAGTCCATAGGAATAAATTGAACTTTTTCACTGTGTCACAGGAAGACTTAAAAAAATCATTTGAAGTTTTCATATTGCTTCAGTCAGCATGAATTAAGTCATCATCAACGATGTGTTTTCCGTCTCAATTTCTTCTGCAGCAAGCAGAGAGCTGCACTCTACCATTTTGTAATAAGTGCTACAATTTGGAAAGAAGTTCATATTATGAATTTCAGCCATTTTTTGCACAGCATACCTGCCACACTTCTGTGAATAAGAAGTCTCTTTTTCTCCTCTGTTAGAAATTATAATTTGGCATCTTTTGAGAAAACCTGATAAAGGAGTAAAGCTTCACGGTATATTAAATAATCTGAAGAGGGATATGAAACAGTATAAAGGCACCTTTTACCACTACAAGTATAGGTACTTGATAACATGTATATTTACAATTACAGAAATACGTAGGTTGTCAAATCTATGTTAAGTCATTCCAACAACCTATGTATTTTTGTAATTCTTATCTGCTCTTGACACTTTCTAACATACTATATCTTTGTTGAATCCAATTTTCATGTATTTGTACAAAAAGGCTGAGTAAATGCACGAACACCAAGTCAGCTAGGTGTGATATTTAGTCACTAGTTCATTGGCTGGTATTCACTGTATTTTTAGCTCTAAAGATCACTTAGACACTCATATGACCGTATATGATGCTGTTCTACAATTTAGCTTTTATTGCACTTCTGCTTATGTGGAGTATTAAAATGGATGGTGCCGGCACGATTTCTGAATTGTCAGTTTCCACTTTCTCTTCACCACGTTCCTGATTTAGGTTTATTTAAATTCTCACAATTTATATTTTAACATGTAATCAACACTCTTAGACTAAATGGGATCTGACTTCCCAGGTACAAGATGTAGCACCGGGGACTGAATTCTGTGTTCATCCTTGCTAACGCTGTTAGACTTCCCTGTGAATTCCAGGCAGGGTGTAGAGCAACCGGGAACTGTACTGCCGTGAGTTCTTGTTCTCAGTGGTTTTGAGCGATGCCGTCATTACAGAAGTGTGTTTGCGTGTGTGTATGAGTATGTATGCAGGTAGGCATTGATGTCGTGTGACTGGTGATAGGGAATTTTAGACAATTTCTAGATTGTTGCTGGATTGTTCTCAGTTACGGACATTACAGCACGTTTTGTTATTGGAATACAAAAGGTCTACTGTGTCTGTCTTTGCCATAAGGTACATCTTCCTAGATCTCTAATTTTGAATCAACATAGGAATACACTCTTAAAGGCAGCTTCTTTACTCTCCAGATGAAACTGGAGTACCTCTCAATTACCTTTCTTTTGGTCTGGCAATATGGGCCTGGTAATTTCAGTTGCTGGTATGTTGTGTAAAACATGCTGTTAACATCCATGATGCTTATTTACAAAAAAAGGGAGAATTTAAGAAGTAGACTGTAAATAAATTCACAAATCTGATGTTATCAGTAATCTGTAATGTCATTCTTATAATTTATGAGACTAATTTAAGTTCTTGTGATTTGTTTTGCCAGGAATGTACCATACTTGGTACATACAGTCCAGATCTGTTTCTTATGATGGGGGGGGGGTATGTCATAAAATTAGGAAACTTCATATTAGAGATGCAGATATATCACTAAAGTCATACAACCTATTTCCTTTTGATTTTAAGCCAGAAGATCTTTCAATAGTTGTTTACAGAAGTGCTTCCATATAATGCATATCACTCAGTTTAGTGAAGGCCAGAAACAGTTCCCCTGGTATATTTTCCTTTAAAACATTCGAAACACCTTAGAAAATGGTATCCATTTCAGTGTTTCATTGGACACATGCATATCGATCCATCTTCTCTCCCGTTTTTTCCCCTCCCTTTAAAATCTCTTGGGTTCTCAGCTTACATTTCTCATCACTATACACTTGCAGGATTGAAATTTGAGGGGCGTGTCAAGGCTTACTCAATTATAACTACAGCATAACTGCTTCAAGAAGTAAGCTCAGGTTGGTACAAGCAGATGAGGTATGCCCACTGGGACATGCTGTTACCTCCACTCATTAGTATAATATTGTCATTGTACAGATCAGATGCCAAGGTTTCTGCTAACCATGTAGCTAGGGCTATATTTCATAGAGGAAAGATACCTTTCAGGCCCTTTCTGTGATTTTAGTGTTGTAGCCTCTTTCTTCTTATCTAGTGTCACTTGTTTATTGTTGTTTGCAAGGCGACCTGCATTGCATAAAGTTCAAAATTTTAAATACCCCAAGGCTTCTGTGAGCTGCTTTGAATTTGTGTAGAGTTCAGTTCAAACCTTAGGAAATTGAAATTGTTTTAACCTTATAAATGCTGAAGTTTCTAAAACCCTGTTTACTTTGCAGATTTCACTAAGCCAAATGCAGCACCTTCTGCGTTGTTTCTGTGCTACACTGTGATTTACTTTTCTCAGGTCGTATGAAAAGTTGCACTTTTTATACTTCAGATAATGGAAAAACTGTAGAGAATCTGTAATTTAGAGCATGTACTTTAAAGGCTTACGGTTAAGATAGAAAGTTCAGGCAGTGTTGAGTGCTTGGTTTTAATTTCGGTTCTGATTTTTGACTGCTTTAGTTCTTATTCGTAATTTTGAAGTTGCTAACTTGGTTTTACATGGACTACAGATATCTGTTGTTAAATGCTCCCAAGCGTACTTCGGATTGCTTTGAGTTCTGTTTGTTAAGAACTTTATTCATCCTTTCTGTTCAACTGAGGTGTTCTTCTACAGTGAATTCCTATCCTTTAGGATTGGCATTTACAGGATAAGATGTGATTGGGCTGGGGAGCAAAATATTTAAACCAGACTTTAATTTTTTTTACTTCTTGTCTTAAAAATAACATTACGTAGTCAATATCGGATCAGACCTAAGAATCATTGATTTTCTTGTTGTTGTTCTACCTCTTCCACATCTTTCTTAAGTGATTTTGAACAATCCTTACTGAATTCTTTTTGTTGTTTTAAAAATGTTTTGAAGGGAATGCAGAAGCATTTGTATTACCCCACAATGCAGTATTCACACTTAAAATGTCATCCCTTCCACATACTTAAAATTAGTATTAAATATGTGCTGACTTTCTTGAAGAGAATCTTTGATCAGAGCCTGATAATGTAGTATGCAGTTACCTCCACATTCATGTCCTGCCATGCGTCCTTCTTCATCCTCCAGTTAGTCTGGACATCCTCCAGTCATCCATATTTATAGTCTTAAGTAGATCTTTAGTCAACGTGAAAGTACGATATTCCTTGAATTCTTTGTAATCGTGTAATTATAAATGTTGATGCAGGTAAGTCTACTCATATCTAGTTAAATGTCTTGTGGTAGTGCTTTGGTGATACAGAAGACAGTCAGTCTAATAGGATTGAGTTTGGATAATTTAAAAAAATATATGAAAGCTATGCATTAATTGTTTTTTATGCTGTTGATTTATAGCCAAGCAATATTTGAATTGGAGTTCAGGGTAGATAAAAGTTAATTATTTGCAATAACTAAAATCACATTTTTAATTCATTCTTTTAAATTTGGAATTAGGAAAAGCTATAGTGAAGGCAAAA